TATAAATACCTCAAGGGAGGGAGTGCAGAGGACGGTGATGGTCTCTTTTCACTGGTGGCAGTGGTTTCTTAACAGTGAGGGTGACAGAGCCCTGGAACAGGCTGCCCAGAGAGGTTGTGGAGTCTCCTTCTCTGGAGATCTTCAAAACCCGCTTGGATGCAGTCCTGTGCCACGTGCTCTAGGTGTCCCTGCGTATGCAGGGGGGTTGGACTAGATGATCTCTAGAGGTCCCTTCCAACCCTAAGCATTCTATGATTCTATGATTCTATGATTCTATGATTCTATGATTCTATGATTCTATGATTCTATGATTCTATGATTCTATGATTCTATGATTCTATGATTCTATGATTCTATGATTCTATGAATGGATGACAATAGGAGATCATGTTGCTTGGGCATGAATTCAATGTCAGTTGCTAGAATGCAGATAGTGGGTGTACTACCAGACTAGCAATAAAAATTTTCAAGTATAAGTTAGGAGGATCAGAAGACAAGTACTTCCAGACCTGGTCTGGTCCCATTCCTCATTCTCTGCTTACTTTATTCTCCTTTCTATGTGGCCCATGCTCACCTTCAAAGAAACCATAGTGCTGTTCCAGCTGGTGGTATCCAGTGAGAAGTGGACTTCCCCTTTTTCATCTGTAAGGAATGACAGCTGGATCTCCTCATCATTGATGTCAACTGTCAGGTAGACTGTTTCATTTATCAGAGGAGAGTCACCACTGTGGCAATATAACTGCAAAGCAAGGAACGAAGTTAATGCCCTCTTCTGCCACCCTCCTAGAGCATGGCATCCTGGGAGATATAAAATGACTCATTTCCTGGAGACAAAGTTAAAATGCCAGTGCTTAATACCAATTTGTTCTATCATTGGGGTTCCTAAGTCTTTTCAGCTTTCAGATGTTGTGAATCCAAGTAAAAATTGAATAAATACACAAGACAACGGTGTGTAGCAGTTCAGACTCAGGAAAAAAACAAAACAAAACAAAACAAAAGTACAACCAAATGGCATACCCATGCTGAGGAAAAAAAAAAAAAGTAATTTCTGTGGATTCTGAGATGTTTCTTGAACAATGCTGCACACCCCCTGAAGATCAGAAACAGTCTTGTATACAGCTACTTAACTCCTCCTGTTCTATGCTCTCCCCCGTACTGGGATTAGCACTGGCCTAGGTGGAAGTGTTTCTCATCCTAATACAGCACTCTTCAGGTACCTGGGTCAGGAATGACTGCCAATGAATTGATATAGAAGGCTTTAGATGGCATGAGCATTTGAACAGCTGTCTAAATCATTTTCCAACCCCCACCCCATATCCCATATGCCTTCAATCACACAGACAAGTTGCAGGAACTAATCTTGGCAGAAGCCTTCAGAGACAGCAGCTGTCCACAGAATTCCTGTCCACAGAAGTTATGGTTAAGGGGAGAAGAAGAATTTTCTCCTCAAGGAAGTTTCATTCACAGTTGTGGGATATCAGTATGTCATTGTTTACTTTCCTGGACAACACTATTTTCTGCTAACAGAAGGTTAGACCTATAATGTATTCTCAGCAGAGCAGGGACCAAAGTGTATTACCTTCCCTGTGTACGGTAGTCCACGTTTGTAGAACGGGTGGAGATCGATAAACTCTACAGACTTCATTCTCGTAACAATAGGAATTTTAGCCGTTTTATTAGTCATTATTCCTGGATGGAGAGAGGAGAAATCTGTCAAAAACTAGTAGTGCTCTTAAGGAAGCATAAAATGAGAAGATCCTTCTCCACTATTTAGAGCATACAAATTGAGGAGAGACACTTTTTGAGGAGACATACTTTTCAGGTACAATTCCACCAGTTTGAGCTTTCCAGTTCACAACAGGATACATCATAGTACATGGGTCCCATTTCTCTTCATGGGAGATTAAGAGAAACTAGAAGACTGCTTACTTACAGACAGTTACACATGAGGTCCTCCTAAAAATGGCCTGAAGGACCACACTTACATTGTCTTGTTTTGGAATAGTAGACAGCAGTTTAAACAGAGCTATGCACACATTGACACTAAAGCTGAAAACTTGCTTCCTTGTAGTTAGAGTTGGGGCAAGCAAAAAGGGAGCAGCCTGGGATTCCAAACAATAGAATTATACACAATTAACTGGACTGTGATGGTTTGTTGCAGCTCTCTGAGAGATACATAAGCACACAGGCAAACACTAAAATTACCTCTTCCTGCTATTTGAGTTGGAGTGGGAGATAATTAGGAAATGTAGAAAGAATACATGGAAGAGGGGGAGATACTAGAACATTGTCAGGACAGAAGACTAGGGAACTCTCAAACTATATTTCCAAAAGGAATTTAATTGCCACAGAGAGGCCAGAAACAAATGCATATGTATATATACATATATATGTATATACAAATAAAGAGAGAGAGAGAGAAGAAATTGACTGCAAAGACAGGAGCTTTTCCCATGCCCTCCACTACCTGTTCCGTCTTCCTCTATCGCTCCTTTCACAGATATATAGCTGTCATGTTCAGTTAATTCCAGAGTCTGTGTCTTCATTGTAAAAGTAGCACAGCCATTCTTGTTCGTCTGGAGAAACTTATATGAACAGAGAGAGAAGAAGCCTTTTCTGGCAGATGCTACATGATCCTAAAAAAAGCTTTTCCAAATACTTTTGCAAGGTCAAAAACCTACTTCTGCAGAAACCCATGAGATGCATCTAAAGTATCTGAGAAAAAACTTGGGGCTTAACCACAAAAATGTAATGAATACAAATGTTCTGAAAGTGTAGCCAGTACTAGATACAGTCTCAGCCAGGACACTAACAAGCTTAAAATGATGCATAAACTGTGTGGTTACTGCAGCAAACAGTAAGCCACAGAGAACAACTGATGCACTGATATCCTTATTCATTGGTGAGAGAACATGACTGAATGGACCAGTGATCTGATTCTATACAATATGATACCCTTGGGAAAGGTACTGGCCATCCCTGCTTATACAGAGCTTGCACCCTCTTTTGAAATACTGCATTAGATATGACACTATGCACTAGATACGATACTATGACAGTCAGAAAAGTTAACTGGAGCAGTAGAGTCTCAGAAGAGGAATAAATGGTCTGATTAGGTCTATCAAGTGGGAAGATACCTGGCTAAGCAGATTAATGCATACCAGAGGTGCATCCAGGCAGATTAAATGTACAGCAGGTATTATTTTCCACCCTTCTGTTTAGCCACCTACCGAGCTACTGTGCTCCTTCTTCTCAGAAGAATTTGAAGTTTCATCTTCAGAATGTGAACTCAGAATAAAAGAAACACTTATATTCCCCTGAACGGGCTTTCCATATGTATATCTGTGTTGAAGGAGAGAAACATCCACCTGAAGATGAGCCAATTGAGCAGAAAGAATAAACAAGGAGAGCAGGCCATCTCCCTAACCAGCAGGATGTGAAGGCTGGAAGAACTCTGTACCTTGTTAGGTCAGGAACTTCAAGCTTCTCTCTTGATGTCACTTCACCTCCTCAGGCTATCATCCCAACTGCCCCCTTTACCCAGAATCCTTAGTGTCCTTCAGCCACACAATAAATGACCAAGTACAAAAAGAAGCAAGTTCCACAGTTCTGCTTCCCAGCCATTGGGTAATGAGAGAACATCATACCTGAATGCCACTTCTCTGCTATCAACAATCTAGAAGTGACTATGGAGCCAAAGGACAGAGATCCCAATGGAATCATGTACTCACTTGCCACAGACTTTCACCTCAAATTCCTCATCCACTGTAGTAATGAAAGGAGGGTGTTCAAGCTTCATTTCAAATTTCATCAATTCTGCAGATAGAGGCATTGAAGGGGGAAGGATACGGCTATAGTGAGCATGGCAGTGATTGGAAGTTCCGTTATAGTTGCAGTTCAGAAAGAATGAAGACAATAGTGTCCCAGTTGCCTATCATCATGGTGTAATAAAGGTTACTGCCTTTGTTCCCACCTCCTTCTATTTGCAGCTGCTTCCTACTGGCACTCAGACAAGCATAATCATTTCAAACAGCACAGAGTTTTCTCCTAAACCACATTACCACAACTGAACTGGGATAAGGCATGCTGCCAGTTCCCATTATGGAAGCTGACAGAGCACACAGTAAATTTAGCCTAGAAGAGGGTGACAATGAGCAGCAGAAAATGCTCATCACAGGACCCAGCTACAGCTAGAACAAGATGTCAGACCACAACTTCACCATTGCACCCTACACACCTGCAGAAAAATCAGCCCAATATGAGATGTGTACACAGCCCACATGTCCCCAGCCTGTTTTCCCAGGACATAAGATCTGATGAGCATGGTCAGATCACCCTGCTCTTTTCTCCATCTACTCAAGCTGCTTCTCCATTCTTTCTCTCTCCCAAGTCTCACCATATTCTTCAACTCTGAACCTTTTTTCAATCCTGCCTCTCACTGAGATGGTATACTGCCCAATGGCTGCTTCAGAGGCCAGGGGAAAGGACAAATCCACGATGCCGTGTTTTGACTTCACATTCTGCCACTCAGCAATACGATTATGTTCAGGATCCTGTTTGAAAAAGAACATGCAGAGCCACCAAGGGGGTACCTGGTAGGTCCAGCCGCACTCAGGCACAAAGTGAGTGCAGAAGACACTACCAGGGCTCACCCTTGCCCACGTAGAGACGATGCCAGAGCATCAGGGGAGGTTCATTTCCATGTGTCCCTCTCCTCCTCCCCGCCCCCCCCAGCTTTATTCTTCTAGGGAATGTGTGAAGCCTGCAAAGGATATTAAAGCTACCAGGGAAATAATACTAGAACACCGTTGGAAGGAGAAGCATCTGTTTCATCTATGGAGCACTTTGCCTTGTCCTTTGTGTTCTGTGTAGGTAAGATGTTGGACAAAGGTGCACTACTGCTCTATCTCTAGCTCAGCTGTGTCCTGGCTGGCCACGGAGAAAACACTTTAGCTGTCTTATTTCCGTGGATATATTTATGGCACAGTTCAGTCCAGGACTGAAAAGGCATAGGAGAAGAGACAGAGATCTCCCCACAGTCAGGTGTCAGGACTTTATCAGTTACCTCCAGCCATATCTGGGAGTACTGTAAAAAAGAAAAGAGAGAGAGAGAGAGAGAACTTCAGTGCTGTACATGTACAGAGCAAAATGGCATTCATGTAGCTCAGTATTAGTAACACTATCTGGCATGGGCCCTTGGTCAGAAAATTCTGCCCTATCCACAACTCCACAACAGGTCTCCTCTCTCTATACTAGCTTTTACTGCAGCCTTTCTCCAAGACACTAATAGATGAGCGGTTTCCTTTAAGAAATCACTTGTTTTTGTGGTTTAATGGGCATGCAGGGAGAAAGGAATCATGTTGAGGCTCCTTCTTGTTGAAAGCACAGGGTGATACTCACACTATTTTTAATGACGTTAAGGTCATCATCAAGGTTAACAATTCGAAACTTGACTGCAGAGGAAAAGAAGAGAATAGTAAAATGTTTTGGCTGCAATACACCCTTGCATAAGTCTGCTTATCCTTGTTTTGTGCTCCAGTGTCTTTTTCTGTCTTTGCTCAGAGGTATTCAGCTCTTTCCTCAAACAACCTTCTTCAAACACAAATTTGCTTTATGTGGGAGATTTATGCACAGTGGAAGACTGTAGAAACTCATTGCCTCTACCTGCAAAGATTGTTCTGATAGGTAAAACCGTGGGTTCTGTCTGCATGCAGTCTATTTATATGGTGATATCTGTGTAGCAAGGACTTTATCTCTTTGTTCAGCTCAAGCACACTCAAGCCATTGTTTATGCAATGATTCTATCATGTTCCTCAAACACAAGCAACAGTCTTCAAAAAAGGAGGAGATTGCCCAGTGTCCTGGCATTTGTTTTACGCCTTATTTGAGACACTTTACTCAAACAAGACCAAAGAGCAGCATGCTGGGCAATTGGTGCAGCATGGCTCATAGGAGTGCATCCTGACTCACATCATTCCTGGAAATGCCTGCTAACAAAAATTTGCTTTCTTCCAGTTGCAATGGGCTTAGCTTGCTGCACTTCATGAAATATTCATCTCAGATGTGGCTGCTACCCTGACCATTCCTTCTATATTTCAGTATGCCGCCTCTTTGCCTTACCTGTTTCTCCAGGTTTGTAGAAGGCCTTGTCTGTCTCTACCAGAATTACATCCTTCTTCGGCTTTACCAGGACTTTCTTGCGACCTTCAAAAAGCACACTGTCCCCGCTGTGGATCAGGGCATGCATAAAACCCACCTCCTCTGTCTGTCAGATGAAAAATTTAAAAGTGCCTGAGGCTGTAAGCAACTTGATGGGGAAAGGGAGGCACCCCTCTTAGTAAATTGGGATAATGCTGGGAGACTGAACCTTCCTTTGCTCCAATGCTTGTTGCTATATTCCCAAAACAGCATTCAAAAATAAAATCTCCTTTATCATCCCCTTCAATTTTCCTCTTCTCCATTCCCCTTCTTTGACTTATTTTATTCCTTTCCCTAGTCATATTCTTGTCTATGGTTCCCAGAATCCTCTTTCTCCTTCTCTCCCTTTCTCCTTGTTGTGTTTGCCTTTTTCCATATTTCTCTCTCCTTTCAGCTATTTTCTCCATACTGTATTTCTACCATTTAACATTGCTTTGGCATAGGAGAGGCTGAAGATCTTTGGTTTGTAAGAAAGGTAGCAGAGAAAGGTGAGTCTTACATGTGAAGTGGAATCGTCCGTTTTCTTGGGAATGAACTCTGGGATCTGGATTGGTTCAGATAAGGAAATAGAAAACAAATTTATCAGGCTGCTTGAATTTTATCCTAAATGTGAGAGACAGAATCACTGTTAAACACCCCCCCAACTTTAGAGTCCAAACTCCACTGCATGACCCTGTTTCTTATCCAGTTGACATTATAAGGAGAAGAAGCTGTCACCTTCTGTCTCTGATTCATGAATGTAAGAGTGATGCATCTGACGTGATTCTTCCACTCACAGAAATAAAAGATTTTTGATCAAACCAAGGAAAACAGTAAGAAAGTCAGACCTGGGCCAAGATAGCAAAGGGAAATGAGGTTCTGGTAAAATGAAAACTGTGGACATCTCAGTATCAGATATTAAGAGATTCGATATATAAGTAGCAAGGATCACTGCAAACAGCTGAAGCATAGCTCTACTTCAGAAAACAATTCTGCCAAATGATGTAATGAACTTCATCACCCAGAGGCCAGCTATCACCCAGACATTCATCTCACCTGGAGAAAGGTACTTCTTTGCTAACTGCACACTTTCCTAGACTGGCTCCCTCCTAAGGCTTGGCACTGAAAATTTAGTTAATGATTGTCTGGGTTGATGTAAGAATCAGAAGTGACTACAATTTCTTCTTGAGTAGTGCTGAATCTGAAAGGCTAGTGGGGCATTGGCGTGCATAAAAGCCTGCAAGAATGACTCAGAGATTTAGCACAGTGCTGATGAAGACAAAAGTTTGGAGAGTCTTAATGTCAGGCACATCTCCATGGCTCTCCAAAGATGTAGCTAAAGCTTCTGTAGTCATGTAGTCTCGTGTAATAGTCTCAGTATGGCTAGCTTAGCTAACTACAGCAAGAAAGATGCTCAGGATGCCCAGGAAATATCCAGAGTGCCTAGGTGAAATCCAGTTCATTATGGGTTCTGCACCAACACCAATCCAACACAGTTGAAGCTGGGTCAATATCTATGCAGGCTGCAACAACATCTTGCACTACAAATAAAGCTTGAGAGCAGAACCACTCTCTCAGCTGGAGGGTCAGACCTCTGAGGAAATAAGAATGAAAAGTATTCCATAGGCAACGGCTTGCTCTACGATATACAAACATTTGCATGGAAAATCATGGATAAGAAAACAGAAAGACATTTTTCCAACACGTTTTCAGTAGGATAAAATGGTCTAATAAAGATGAAAAGACCAAGTTCTCATCTGCACAGGAAAGGATTTCTGACTTTGCTAGATTACAGGACACAGCCACATTTTGCTTTGCACGGGTAAGGGAATACACTTATCTTGTTTGCACAGACCCCTACTGATGTCAATATGTCAAGGCAGTGAAGGATAGTGTTCCTGGAGACGTGCTGGGCTTCTGTCTGAGGTGAAGGCAAGAGCATTCTCTGCCAAACCAGCTATCACAGCTACACTCACCTGGAAGCTGATGCACTCAAAAGTGCCTGGCTTCTCCACATTCTGTTCCACTAGTGTGTGATTCTGGGCTTCCATCTCCAAGGTGACAGTCAGGTGGACAGCCTCAGGTAAAGACCTGAGGTGGACACAGAGCTTCTCTTCTCGGGAATGGTGAATGACAGCAGGGAACACCACCACATAGTGACTAGAAGAAAGAAGGAAGCATTTCAAAGATAATTCAGAGTTAGGTAGGCAGACAGGTCAGAATCCATCTCTGCTGTACTCGTGAAGATGTAGACCATAGATTAGAGAGGTCTTGAGGCCTGCAGTAAAGGAACTGTAGGGCAGCTCCCTTCCCACTCCAGAAAGAAGTATCATGCTCCACGAAAAACAGTGGGCTCCTATCATATGCTTGCAACTACCCTTACATCAGCCAGAATCAAGCTGCCCAGTGCAGGATTGCAAGTACAACAGGAGCAATTAGACTGTGTGAAAATGAGGACAAAGACTCAAAGACTGAGACATAAGACTTGAACCCCATCATCACCACAACCATATTTCAGTCCATCACTAGCAAGACACTAGATGAAGAGAAGAAAAAAAAAACTACACACACACACACAAAAAATATATATATATATTGCTTATGTAGCTTTTTGGTGTTAGTCCTGCACCACGGCCCTTATCTGCAGTGGTGCTGAACACTCACAGCTCTCACTGAACACAGTAGGAACTGCTTCTGCTCAGCCTGCCCTGAGAAAAAGGCCACTCATCTCTACACTGCTAAATGATGCAGCATTTGATCACCACACCCTTCAATGACAGCCCCTTCTACCAAGCCCACCAAGATCGAAAGGAGATAATCTCACGGTTCCAAGCTTGCTGCAGCTGTGGCTGGGAATAGGGTCAGAGCTAAAAGGAGCACTTGTACTCCCATTTCTTGGACTAGGACAGGCAGCTGGCAAGATCCACATAGGAGCAGAGAACAGACTGTACTGAGAGGCTGGTGCCCCTAAATATCCCTGCTCAGATACTCCTAAGTCCAAAGAGTGGGAGAGTTGCAGTGTGGAGACTGCATATTTCCTAGGCTAATGACATTAACTAATATTTACTTACTTCCAATAACAACAGAGTAAAGGCCACACAGCACAGTTCTTCACCCACATCCAAACTTAAGTGACCATGGTTTTGCAGGCTGTGGGGTATCAAAGCACTAAGGGGGAGATGTGGAGTGGGTAAGATCTAATTCAGGTTGAAGTGAATTCATGAGAGAAACCCACCTCAGTTGTAGCTGGCTTGTATCCTAGCTGTGGCATTCCATAACCATCAAAACTGTGCACAAGCTCTTATCCTCTGCTTGAAGAAGACATCTTTAGTACTCTGTCTGTGCATCATTAGTGATTGTTTCTTCATCCAAATTTTAACTGAAGCCTGGAGTGAAAATCTTTCAACGCATCTCCATCTCCTGTTCACCCTTCCAGCCCCACCACTTCTGGGTCCGCCTCGCTACAGAACCTTCTCTGTGGACTGCTTCCATCTATTCAGCATCAGATTTCCCTCACTGCTCTGCTGCAAGGCATTTCCACATAAAGTAAGACATTTTAAAGTCCAAGATATCCACACATTTCAGGCAATCTTTACAATACTCACCCCACACACTCTAGGTGTCCCATCTTCTGCCAGCTTCATCCAGCCATAAGTTATTTCTATCTCACCACAACCACCAATCTTTTCCAGAATTCTTCTAGTCACTGCAACCTTGTATTTCATTTTCCTGGGTGGCAGCAACTGCAGCTCATGTCAATATGGTTTGGACATATTTGCCTTCCATTTATGACCTTGTTTGAAGGTGGGTGTCCTCACCTTGCCCTGGCTTCAGCTGTGTTTTTACAGAGCATAACCAAAGGTACACAACATAGAAGAGATTTTTTGTCTGTCCCCTTTGCTCCTAGTTGAAGCAATACTCTGAATTTACTTTGGCACAGCCTCTACATGTGCTTGACATCCACTCTTTTAATGCAGAGTGTGATGAAACAAGAATGCACTAGCCTTTCACCTGGCACTGACAAGCTGATAATATCTAAGTTTAAAGCACTACATGTCACTGATCTGTGAACATATTTGATTCTCTGAAATCATAAAGTTTTTGAGTTAAAGCCTAAGCTAGTGGGAGAAAAAGTCAACCAGACTTCTGTCTGATTTCAGAAACATTACCTAGACTTCGCATCTTTGAATGGTCAAGCAGACTGAATTTAAATGTGATCAAAAGGACAAAAAAGAAATATACTAATGCGCTCAACCTCTTTCCAAGCTGGAGTGAGAGCATGGGCAGAACTGTGTTGGGAGTCCCAGGATTATCCGGAAGGAGGCTGCAAGGCAGGAATGAAGTTTTAGTAAGAAGTAAATAATACATAAAAGAAAAATTCAACCCACTGACATCACAAAGAGTGAATTTGGCCAAGGATGTTTCTAATGAAATGCCAGTAAAGAAGCTGATGATGATGATTGAATTTTTTTTTACCATACAAAATATAATAACTCAGCACTCCTGCTGCCACCAACTATTCTGCATAAGAGAAGGCAGAGCAAATATCTCTCAGGGAAGAAGCAACAAACTTCACTAGCCCTTGAAGCAAGTGGGTCTCGTGTCTGGGCAAATAAAAATTGTCTCCACCTCTTCCCCCCGCCCACTTCCCAGCTCCAGGCATGCACAGTTTGACTTCCATCTTCTTGGTTTTGAAGCCAAAAGAGAGACAGTTCCCCTATCAAGGCAGAAACTGCATAGTCCTTCAACTCTGGAAGAGGGCGAGAGGGAAGAAAGAAAACAGCAGAAGCAAGGGTGAAGGGGGACAAAAAAGAGGCTCATCTTTCTGTGGAGGGATTTGACCTACAGTCAGCTATGTGGAGCCACACTCTCCTGTGGGGCAGCATCCTTCTCCTGCCTAGAGTGGCTGGAACACCTGCAATGCTGTAAGAACCTTGGTTGCTTCGCATCCGCGTGCTGGTTTGTGGGGAATCCTCAGGGTAGAGGGTGACAGGAACAGGTCAAAAGTCCTAAGTCAAGGGAGATTTTTCTAGAGGGGCATCACTGCTTGTATGCCATAGGTTTCACTTGTTTCTCATAAGCCTCTGCCTGCCTAGCCTGCAAGGTTCCTCGGCTCTTTTTCTAATATCTTTAGCTTAGACCATGTATTTCGGCAAGGATTCAGGTCAGATAAGCCCTGCTAGATTTTGGCATGTGTTTAATTCTGACCTGCCAACACCTGCAAGAATGTCTAGTTTTAAGTCTATTTTTTTTAAAAAAAAACTTGTCTAGTCTAATCTACTCTAGTTCTGGGAGAGTACAGTCTTTTCCCCTTGGATATGCTGCATAGGCTGATACAGCTCACTCTCAGATAAGATTTTACTGCTGGCTGTTTCCTATAATTTCCTTTAACACAGCTAAAAGAAGCTTTGCTTTGTGGTAATACTGATTGCTTTGATATGGTCTGTGTGATAATGCTTTCTCTAACTTCCTCAAAAAATAACCTAGCATGGATCTTGGGAACCCTGAAAGACAGACTTGGAGAGGATGTCTCATACATCTATAGCTCATAAGACAAAAGCAAGGCTGAATTGGAAGTGGAGTGTGTAAGAGTTTTCCAGAGTAGAGAGGGCAGCAAGAGATCATTAGGAGCAAGGGAGGTCTGGGAAGTTCAAGTAGTGAGTCTTTAGTACACCTGCAATCCTTATGGCCCCATGGCAGGGAGAACGTTCTATGAGATATCCTAAGAAGAAAATTCAAAACACCATTGACATCTCTTGTTGGCTCCCTTCGTATTAGCAGCAGACAAGATGCTCAAAGCAGCTTGACAGACTCCAAATGTGACCACCCTCAAGACTCTTGCCCAAGTGGCTTTGACTCGTGCCTGCCAAGGTGTTGAGTCCCAGCAAAGAACTGCCAATAATTCATGTCCCTGTCTCCAAGTTTTCTGATCATTCTTGGTCCTGCCCTAGCCACAAAAGTTGACACTGTCTGACTCTGTCTAGCATCAGTAAGCAGGAGGAATCAGCGCTAAAACTTTTTGGGGTAATCAAACCTCTGTTTTCACCCCCAAAGGCTTTCATCTGCTACTAATACTTTTTACATTGTCAAGCCTGCTGTATTGCGTGTTTTCTCCTGATGGGGGAAGAAGTGGGAACTGCCATGGACAGACCTCTGTGTGGGAAGGGTCAGTAATTCCATCAGTCTGAAGAACACAGAATCCAGTCCAAAGGACTGGATCAAGGAGAGGATCCTAAAATCTGATCTGGAAACACATTTTGATGATCTGCAGAAGCCAGCTGCTTCTTGAATGTTGGCTTCTCTTTGATCCTAGCTGTTGCAGTACTTCATAACATGATATGACAGAATACAAACAGTATCTTGGTGTTATCTGTGTTCACAGCTATGCTAGCAGGCACAGATGTGTGAGATGTGAATTGAGAGAAAAAGGAAAAGTATATCAGGAGCTGAAGAGCAGGTATTCATGAGACTTTGTGTCTAGGATGTGAAGCTATGACAGTGGGACTCATAGAATGTGTGGCATTGGCTGTGAGCTCAAGAATAGCTCATAAGACAGAACGCAGATAACCAAGCAATAATAAGCTGCTGCTGAGACATACTGTAGTCCAGTGAAATGGCCCAAGTTTCAGGAAACTTGTAGTGTAATCCAAGCCCTGCTGCTGACCCCTTTTGTGACATGTGGAAGTCTTATCTTAGGCCAAGCTTATTTCATTTCCTCAACTTTATCTTAATTTTCAGTCTTGAGATCAGCGGCTGTGTTTTACTGTATGTGAATGCAGAACGTAGCACAGACTTAGCGGTCATGATGTAGTACTGACAGATGGGAAGAGCAGTGTAATCTGGTCTCACTGGCATGATAACACTGCAATGGAAGGACTAGAAGTCTTATTATCAAGTATCCAAATCTCATGGTCAAAATCAATCCTCCTAAAAATCAGCTTCACCTGGGATCTTTTACTTTTTGTAGGAATTATGCTGTGGCAATACCATCTCAGCTCTACTATCCCTTCTCAGAGAAAGTGTGCCTCCAGCTCAGCAGAAAAGAAGCAGTCCCAATCAGTGTGAGAGTAACCTTGCAAAGCAAAGCTGAGAATAAGACTTTGATCCTTCAGTCTATCTCTCAGCTCACCTTCTTTCATTGCACAAGCTTCCAGGTGAGCAGGAGATTCTCAAGAACTGTCAGTAAGGTGGATACCATATGAGTTCTAACGTTGCTGGACAGGAAAAACAAGGATTGTGCCTTCCTTTGGGCAACTGAATCTTCTGCTTCAGCATGTGTAGGGCTGACAATGCCCTTCCTGATCCGGAGTTTCACTAATATTTTACTCTTCCGGATTTTTTTTAATTTTATTTTTCCTTAGAAAATGTTTGGAAAATTGTTCTCAGATCTTTCAGAGCAAGTAAGAGAGCAATGTAGAGTCTGTATCAAAATCATTATTTCAAAGACCTGTGGATCCAGGATCCTGAATGATGGCTAATTTACAACTATGCCTACAGGTCCCTGCTCCTGTTGGAAACCCACATGAAGTGGCTTTTATTGTCATCACGTTCCTAGAAGCCAACTCAGAGTTTCAGAAGAAACAGAAAGTCTTAATCAAGCATGCAGACAAGAAGACTTTTATTCAGACAGACAAACCTGTGTACAAACCTGGACAGATTGGTATGGATATAATTCCATGTCTTATTAGAGAAAGAAAGATGGTCAGAACACAACAGATCAGGTAGACACTATCTCTTGGAGCAGACAGCTGAGTGGTGTCTGCTCTGCAAGAAAGACAGGACACAGCCTTCATGTTCCTCTATCATTCCAAGTTGTACATGTTTTGAAAGATCTAGGGACATTTCTCACACATGCCAGTATGTCACATGTTTTCTGCAGTATTACAGTATGT